AATATATAATTTTAAATAAAATATTTTAATATAACATTTTAAATAATACCTTTATATAACATATATATTCCTATATTTAAATAAAAAGGCATATATTGGATTAAAATATCATTTATTCTACCAATATTTCAGTTGGCTGAACCTTTATCAAGGTATTATAACATTTTAAAGTGTGTCAACAACATTATAACACCTAGATAAAGGTTGGCGTTCAGCCAAATGAAATATTTGTAAAATAAATGATATTTTGATCTAACATATGCCTTTTTAATTAAAGAATCAATTATAGATTGCTCTATTTTCAAAAAATATATATATATTTCTATATATAAATAAAAACAAACTCTAACTGGCCGAAGTGTCTATTTTTCATAATTACATATCCCAAGGTGAAAATAATAATAATAATGAGAGTGGTCAGCCACCGTCTCGTTTTCCTTATTTGCAGATAAGATTCCGAGAACCCCTCACACCTGTGGTCGTCCCCCCGGAGTCCAGTGTTGATTGACAGGTGTCCCATGGAGCTGCCTGTAACTGTGGTTGTAGAGCTACTTGACAATATTTATGGCAATAATATCTCTCGTTTTTAAAAAATCTAAATCTTCGTCATTTAAAATTACAGATATTAAAATCAATATTACTTCCCTATACAATGTTTACATATTACCTATTACTAAAAAATGTTTATATAAATCATCTAGATATTATTAGTAAAAAATCTCTACATTAAACTTATGATAAAATGAATTAACACTATTTTTTTGATTATCCCTAGTACACGTGGTACAGTCCATGATAATCATGGTGGGTAGTTAGCGACTACTTTTACTGTAAGCGCACCACATGTTTACACATGTGAAAATCAGTTCGACTTTGTACTTACAAATGTGCCAGAGGCCCGTTCTAAGTGATGGATGACTAAGCAGATCACAAGGAGAAAACTAAATATTATTTATTAATGACGTCAGAACGTCTAGGCGACGATAATTATAACTAACCAATTATTTACAGCTAGAGAATAATCAGCAATAAAGCTATAAAACATATAACTATATTCCATAAATACAGAGTTATGCTGTGTACTTTCATTGTTTAAATAAATGATAAAATATAAAATTATTTCCTCGCTACAATAACAACAAATATATACTCACCAATCATAGGCAAAACAAAACATTATGAATAAAATTATCAAATACAAGAGAGGAACACCTTTTACTATCTTCATTTTATTCCTTATAAGTTCCCGCTTATATTTATTCTACAATTATAAGTTAACATCTTTTAAGTAGTCATTTTTGAAAATAGGTCATGTTTTGAAGCTAAAAGAAAACATCAAATTTAGAATTATATTTTAAATATATTCAGAATCCTTTGTCGTATGTATATCCGGCTAATTTTATATATTTAAACATTTTATAATTAGAAAATATATAATATTTTAGATATATAATATGGAAAACTGTTCAATTTCCTATAAATCAGATCATAAAGATAAAATCGAGAGTGGAAAGTGTGTGACGTCCAGGTATCTGGCTAGTGTCCCCACAAATTGAAAAAGACTGCCGCCACATTTATTTCACCCACCTAGACTTAATCTGAATATTGCAGACAAGAAGTTACGCCTTTTATTCCATTTCTTTTCTAGATTCTGATTTCATTGAAGAAAATTGGTATTCATATACTCTTTCATATATATTAGTGTTTTAATTTTATCCAAAATGCGAATATAATTTGCGTTTAAGATTTTCCTCTATTATTACTCTCTAATATTATGTTCGAATAGGAAAATTATATTCCATGATATTTAATAATGTAATGCTTTATTATAATTTTCATATTGTTATAATGTTGTATATGCTAAGTTGCATCTCTGCCTATATATCGCAGCTTTGTTGGATTGTTTGATTGGCTAGCAGTTATTGGATAGGGCAGGCCGTTGATTCGTAAAAGTTGCTAGATTGTATATATAATTTTCTCTTTTGTCCTTCCTTATTATTTATAAATACATTCGAATAATAAAGGATCTTCATAATTTTCGTTAATCTATATGGTTGTTCTTATTCAGCCGACCCATTTTCTTGATGGACCAAGTAAAGCCAATTACTCCAGCGTGGAGTAATCTGAACCTCAACGACCAGAAATTTTGACCAAGAGACGCTCTGAGTAATCAAGAAATGAGTGGTTAAGGCCAAATTTGTGCAATTGCGTGAACCCGATACCTAAAGAAGAGAGCTAATGGACAGATGTGATAGTTGAACACATTGGACATATTAAATCAAATAAAATATCTTAACAACTTCTAAACATATAGAAGGTAGCTGAAATTTCTGTAATGTAATGTAAAATAATAAAGAAAAAATCGTTTATTTCAAATAGCCTTCGCAAATTTCTTTATCACAATACAACTAACTATATGAATTAATTATAATATAATTATATATTTCCAATTTAAAAAAAGGCATATATTGGATCAAAATATAATTTATTTATAAAAATTTCAGTTGGCTGAAGGCCAACCTTTTTCAAGGTATTATAACATACAACATAATACCTTTAAAAAGGTTGGCGTCCAGCCAACTGAAATATTGGTAAATAAATTATATTTTGATCCAATATATACCTTTTAAATTTTATATCTATTTATGGATTGCTCTTAAAAATAATTTTATGTAATAAAATGTTGAATATTATAAATAAAATCAATATATAATAGGATAGGTATAACAATACTTGGAATAATTCGAAAATGTGCTCGGTTGACAAACAGTCAACAGTTGTAGCAACAGTACCACATCGATCTCTAGATAATTAAGTTACCAGAAAGTTTAAACAAACCAATTTGCCTTATTGAAGGTCTCTGATTAAGATAATAGCCTAGATCTTAGAGAACATTGTATCGCAGTTGTCAAAGATGTTTCTTGGTCACATTTCTAAGCTTGTTTGTAATTTAGGAAACAAGGTTTAATGACCTTTTCACCTTTTATTATAATAATTATCACATAATAAGATAGGTTATTGAAGCATTAGTAAGAAATTTGTTTCTCTAAAATTTATATTTTTGTTTTTGAATAATTTAATCCCATTTTTTAAGTTAGCATATCTTTCCGAGTTAGTTTGAAGAATAAATTGATAACTAAATGAGAAAGATAATACAAAGCAATAACGCGCCATTCAATAATTCAAATGAAAACACTAAACACGAATGTTTCATTTCACAAATAAATCAAACTTCTACTGCCTTTACTTCGATGAAAAATTTACATTGGGACAAGCCCTCCTAATGTATATTTTTCAATCGTGTTTTTCAATATAGAAAAATGAATAATTTAAATCATCTTAGGTTTTGTTTCTTTCTCAATGTTATAGTCTATAAAGATTGAATAATCCTTTTGCTCCAGAGTCTTCTATGTTGCTATTATCTCCTTGATATCGTAAGATGTCAGATAGCAGTTGTTGGATTTTCTCAAATCTCACTTTCTTTTATAAACTATTGGAAGTAAATGAGATAAAGCTAAGTATAACGTTTTGTTTACACAGATAATATGTTCGGCCTTTCTTTAATCAATTCAAGTATTTATAGGTAAAAGATTAAATAAACAAAACTATCGCAATACCCCATATATCATTAATTTACAATTCTATCCAATTAGAAAAATAGTACAAATGTGATATTGTATATTGGTGTGGAATAATTAAAAATCAACGAGAATAGTTGATATTTATTCCTATAGGTGACGCAAGCCATCAGCAATTCTCAGTAAAACGATAAAGAGATGCCTTTTTAATAATTCTATCCAATGTTTCGTTTCCATATAATGGCTGAAGTTTTGAGTGAATTGTTGGGGTTGGAATGTCAGCTGACTTAAAGAGGAACTCGGTCACCGACCATTGTCGGATTCTTGTGTTCAAATTAGGCTCCATATCTGAATAAATACAAATATTAAATAAATTTTAGTTGCAGATATGAATAGCAGAGTGTTTTATTTGCCAGAAAATATGCTTTTTTGATATAAGGTTATCCCAAAAGTTCGTAATTTTCTTAAAAGTTGTTTTTCTTATTACTTGGCGAATAATATTATTACTGTAAATACATAATAATACATTATACATAATAGAAAGACATTATACATAACGGCGAATAATATTGGTATTTCTATTTTTTGTAAGTGTTTACGAACTTTTTTGATTACCTTGTAATATATTATTTATATATTTTACTAGAGGTGGTTGTCCATTACACATATCGACCCACCCTTGTAGATCTAAATTCCATTTTCATTGGACTATTCCATTAGCACTTTGCTGTCAACAGTATGCATCATTCACTCACATCAATCTTGCTAGGTGAGCACAAAGATAAATGGGAAGGAGAAAAGACCCTGATCCGCCTATTGAGCGGATGCATTCAGGCAGTCTCTTGCGTTGATGAGGGCCATTAGTTCGAAACCATGGTCTCTAGGTAGACGATTCTTAGTTTACCAAAGCTGGTGTTGTGGCTTTGTCATCGACCTGTGACCGTTAGTTTGCGGCGACAGTCAATAGATGGCGTCTAGCTTTGACCTTTATTTTAGCGGGAGAAGTTACTTTTAATTTATAAGAAACATCATCAATAATCAAACTTTAAATACATAAATATATACTGATTCGATAAAACAGAGAGAGCAATAATCCGACTCATTTCTTGCTGATAAAATATTTTGATGATTTGCTGATTAATGAAGCAAATATATATATCCTTGCTTGAACATCAAATTGATGGCTTTAGAAAATAATAAAACTATGTGATACAATATAATATAATGCGGCTTGTGATTGTAAAACGACATTTTAAAACTATTCCACATGTTTTTCCTTCAAAGAAAAATCAAAATTTATTTCAAGGAGAAAAAAGAAACACATGCGGATAACTTTAAAATGTCGTTTTACAATCACAAGCCGCATTATATTATATTGTGTTATAAATTACTTTATGTATTATTTACGAACGGAAAAATATGTCCAGGGTAGCCTAGTTGACATGGCATCTGCCTAGTTGACATGGCATCTGCCCGGTAAGCGGAACAGTGTGGGTTCGATTCCCATCCCTGGACACTTTTATTTTTCCGTTTATCATTACACTTCACAATTCACCCTTTCATACCTCATTCCAAAGATTAGAAATAATCGTTATTTCTCCTTTAAATAAATTTTGATTTTTCGTTAAAAAGAAACACATCCGGAATAGTTTCAAAATTTTATATAAGGCTAACATGATTCGAATATATACATTAGATAGTAAATTTATTTTGTTTTTGTCTTTGTGTCCATTAAGTCGATTTCCACCTATGGTGAACATTTGGTAAATATTTTACAATTTTATCTTTGGTAACAATCCCAATTGCAGTGATAATTCATTTACCAAAAGCTAGCTTTCTTAACCTCTTCCAGACAGTTTATTGGAAAGAGGTCTTCTTCTCTCTCTTTATCTTTCAAATATTTTAAATATCAACTTTTTATCTTAAAGATAGGTGTTCCCTGGCCGGCATTCATATTTATTTGAAAAATAGACACTTCGGCCATATTAATTTTTTTCTCATAATTTTTGAAACATTTAGAGAATAAAATAATCTGACCGAAGTTTCCTATTTTTTAAGAAATAAATATTTTTAATCCATTTTCTCTCAGGTTTCCGAAGTAGGTCAGTCTTTACAAATATAGATAAAGAATTCTTCCTGGATTGAAATTAAACGAAAAACATGGTGAAGGAAGATGAGTTTCTTTTATTGATGCACTCATTGAAACTCATCTTCCTTCACCATGTTTTTCGTCTAATAAGGTCAGTCTTTATTTGTTTATTCTTGGAATTATAAAGATCTACCCAGGATTAATATTATTCAAGATTGATATATTTTCAATTTATCTTTTAATGACACTTTGAGTAGCTTTCTCGATGTCCTTATTTAAAAAAAACATCATTTCTTCTTTTATTCTGAAAATAGCAGTATACTACATTATTGCTTTGTAACCTATTATTTAAATTCTAATATATTTTGGAATGTCACATTATATATATGCCTATTTATTAATATATGAATATGTGAAAAATGACAAAGTCAACACCCCGAATCACGTACGTGGTTGACCTTTCTTGATTTATCAAATATCTTGCTGTTGTTGTTGCTTATTCCTCAAGTCGTTCAAACGATCTCCATTAGGTCCCATTGTCTCAGCTTTTCTATTATAATCAATATCAAAAATTTAGTTGGCCAAATATCTTTCAAACTAGCAAAATTAACGTTTAGTTTATATCTGTTCCACTAAATGGCGCTCTGCCATCTGAAAAAAAAAAAGCTTATCTGAGCACGGTTAGGATATTCCTTTTTTAATATGATGTCGCGAAATTTGTTAAGAGTGAAATTGCTGGCTCGGCAACCCTGGAGCTGACGTCACTTCCTGTGGATGTAACCCTCGCAAGGCCGCGTAGCCACGAGACTTATTCTTTTCTTTGCTCTCTTTGTTTACTATTTAATCTATAGATATTTCCTTCCTTTTTCTTTAGATAAATAATAAGATATATTTAGATAGAATAATAAAACCTACTGAAATAGCTCGGTGTACCTCTAGTTATTCAATTGCGACAATATAAATATATCAAATATTTTTCCCTAATATAATTTCAAAAAACTGCCGCTACAGTTATGACGGAAATTTGGCAAGTTACTTTGACTTATTATTCTTAAAGAAGACTTTTACTCACTATTACTTTTAAAATTATTACTCGTAGAACATATTGATTTATTTTTAAAACATAATAATTTAATTAGACACAAACCGTATTGTACAAGCTTGTATATAAGCTGGTTTGTTCTGGAAGACATTGATTATATAGGAGACAGGATATAATATGTTTTATGATGTGATGGCAATCTTGGTATACGTCTCTTTTCTCTGTAGACAGTTACGGGGTTAATAGAAAGAGAAAGGGGAAATTACAAGATCCCATAAGAGGGATCATTTGATGTCGCTAAATCGATTCCCTTCCCGGGCGATAAGTCAGCGATCAATAGGACCACCTTGAGGGGTCCCCAGGAGGGGGCTCCAATCTTCTCTCCCCCTACTGGAAACTTCTTGGTGAAGTTTGGAATGTCACTCTCGTACATCATCATTTTGTATCGGGGCGTGGAGTTCAGAAGTTCCTCACCTTCCATCTTTCCAGAGATTTTTCTAAGAATCACATTGACTGTTAGTTAAACCCTGAATAAATAGTCTTGGTGCTTGATAATTACCATTATGTCTCTTTCATATTTTAATTAGATTCATTTTGTCGAGGTTTTATTTATAAGAAATAAAAATTATAGTCTGCAATATGTTTTTTGGAAATACTATAGACTATAAATTCAAACGCCATTTATATCGCAAAATATGTTTCTTTTAATATATTATTATATATCTATATTAATAAAATGGAAATTTCATAAGTGGTGTTCGCTAAAAACTTTCGTTACAATGCATCAATTTCGACCAAATTTTCAACATTTATGTAAAACGAGATGGAGCAGGTTTTGCTTAACATCAAAATATTTTTCCTAACTTTAACATGCGTAACTTCGCTGTTATCGATTAAATACAAAAAAAATCAACAGAGTTGATTTTATTAATATATAAATACAAAAAAAATTCAACAGAGTTAATTTTTTTACATACTAGCTAATAATCTCAATCAAAATAAATATTCAAAACAAGCAATTTTAAGATAACACCATAATTAAAACAGTCGGCCAAGAAAACAACAATATAATATAAAAAGCCAACAATTAAGAATAAATGTAAGATAAAAAGCCAACAATGAAGAGCAAATATAATATAAAAAGCCAACAATGAAGAATGAATGTAAGATAAAAAGCCAACAATGAAGACTAAATATGATATAAAAAGCCAACAATGAAGAATGAAGGTAAGATAAAAAGCCAACAATGAAGAGTAAATGTAATATAAAAAGCCAACAATGAAGAATAAATGTTAGATAAAAAGTCAACAATGAAGAGTAAATATAATATAAAAAGCCAACAATGAAGAGTGAATGTAAGATAAAAAGCCAACAATGAAGAGTAAATGTAATAAAAAAGCCAACAATGAAGAATGAATGTAAGATAAAAAGCCAACAATGAAGAGTGAATGTAATATAAAAAGCCAACAATGAAGAATGAATGTAAGATAGAAAGCAAACAATGAAGAGTGAATGTAAGATAAAAAGCCAACAATGAATAGTAAATGTAATATAAAAAGCCAACAATGAAGAATGAATGTAAGATAAAAAGCCAACAATGAAGAATGAATGTAAGATAAAAAGCCAACAATGAAGAGTAAATATAATACAAAAAGCCAACAATGAAGAATGAATGTAAGATAAAAAGCCAACAATGAAGAGTAAATATTATATAAAAAGCCAACAATGAAGAGTGAATGTAAGATAAAAAGCCAACAATGAAGAGTAAATGTAATATAAAAAGCCAACAGAGTGAATGTAAGATAAAAAGCCAACAATGAAGAGTGAATGTAAGATAAAAAGCCAACAATGAAGAGTGAATGTAAGATAAAAAGCCAACAATGAAGAATGAATGTAAGATAAAAAGCCAACAATGAAGAGTGAATGTAAGATAAAAAGCCAACAATGAAGAATGAATTTAAGATAAAAAGCCAACAATGAAGAGTGAATGTAAGATAAAAAGCCAACAATGAATAGTAAATGTAATATAAAAAGCCAACAATGAAGAATGAATGTAAGATAAAAAGCCAACAGAGTGAATGTTAGATAAAAAGCCAACAATATAGAGTGAATGTAATATAAAAAGCCAACAATGAAGAATGAATGTAAGATAAAAAGCCAACAATGAAGAATGAATGTAAGATAAAAAGCCAACAATGAAGAGTGAATGTAAGATAAAAAGCCAACAATGAATAGTAAATGTAATATAAAAAGCCAACAATGAAGAATGAATGTAAGTTAAAAAGCCAACAATATATATGAAGAGTAAATCTCTATATATATCTATATTAATAAAATGCAAATTTCATAAGTGTTGTTCACTAAAAACTTTCGTTACAATGCATCAATTTCAACCAAATTTTCAACATTTATGTAAAACGAGATGGAGCAGGTTTTGCTTAACATCAAAATATATTTCCTAACATTAACATGCGTAACTTCGCTGTTATCGATTAAATACAAAAAAAATCAACAGAGTTAATTTTATTTATATATAAATACAAAATTAAATTTCAACAGAGTTAATTTTATTTATATATAAATACAAAATTAAATTTCAACAGAGTTAATTTTTTTACATACTAGCTAATAATCTCAATTTAAAAATATAATATAAAAAGCCAACAATGAAGAGTGAATGTAAGATAAAAAGCCCACAATGAAGAGTAAATATAATATAAAAAGCCAACAATGAAGAATAAATGTAAGATAAAAAGCCAACAATGAAGAGTAAATATAATATAAAAAGCCAACAATGAAGAATGAATGTAAGATAAAAAGCCAACAATGAAGAGTAAATATGATATAAAAAGCCAAAAATGAAGAATGAATGTAAGATAAAAAGCCAACAATGAAGAATGAATGTAAGATAAAAAGCCAACAAAGAAGAGTAAATCTACTTATATAATTACCTTATTCTGTCTGTGTGAAGTTCACGGATAGATTTTGGTCAGAATATAATATAAAAAGCCAACAATGAAGAATGAATGTAAGATAAAAAGCCAACTATGAAGAGTAAATATGATATAAAAAGCCAACAATGAAGAATGAATGTAAGATAAAAAGCCCACAATGAAGAGTAAATATAATATAAAAAGCCAACAATGAAGAATAAATGTAAGATAAAAAGCCAACAATGAAGAGTAAATATAATATAAAAAGCCAACAATGAAGAATGAATGTAAGATAAAAAGCCAACAATGAAGAGTAAATATGATATAAAAAGCCAAAAATGAAGAATGAATGTAAGATAAAAAGCCAACAATGAAGAATGAATGTAAGATAAAAAGCCAACAAAGAAGAGTAAATCTACTTATATAATTACCTTATTCTGTCTGTGTGAAG